CTTCTTTTTTCCTTATCACTTTCTTTATTTATTGATATAATTTTCATTATTATTCCTCGTTCAGTTACGTTACTTGTAGTGGGTGTGGCTTCAGGTCCAGGAGGTAATGTAATGTCCAGTAGTATTGAGTTGATGTGAATATCAACATATCTGTACATCAAACTATCTTTGAATTCTTTTTGATAATCTTTAGGATCAGATGATACATATAACTGAGTGGGTGTGCGTGTGTATGAGTTTTTGAAGGAAAAAAATTGAAAAAGAAATAAAATAAATAAAAGTGAAAAAATAAAAAATATGATGTAATTATGAATATATAGCTACTGTACAAAATATTGGCAAAGAGTCTTATGTAAAAATTGCTTAGCTAAAATCAATGCTGGCATTAAATCAAAATCACAAATATGAAATTCTTAACAGTATGACTGCATGTGTCAGAGTTGTGCAAGTGAACTAACTTTTTTTACTCCATCAAGTTTAGAACTATGTCCATCTCTAAGCTCATGGATTGAAGTAGCACCCCCGTACATGTATTCCTTCTCCATTACTAATAATCTCATATATGATGAATCAATATTTAATATCTACAGAAAAAAATTTACCAGATCAATGGAGGAAGGAGAACGATAATAATAATATCCTTCCTCTTACTTCTCCTATATGTTGTTTTAATTTTGCAACAGTCCAACCTTCTTCCCCTCTCACTGGTTTAGCTGGTCCTACTTCACCAGTTGACAGATCAACCACTGATACCTTTAGATTAATACCTACACCATCAAACACATATGTACATGTATTTTCAATTAATAGTCATGTCACTGGCAACCACACCTACCTCTGCCCTTGTAGATGTACTTTTTGAAGGTTTCATTTTCTTTACGAGTTTCTAAGAATAATGCAAAAGAATAATAACCTCTAGCTCCACCTAGAACTAGCTGTCTGATAGTTTGATGCTGAAACTAAATTAAATAATAATTATTGTTATTATGATCAATAAAACTCACTTCATCAAGATCAAAGGGCTGATCCATTACTTTATCAACATAATTATATTTAACTAAACGACATCTCTCAATAAGAATATGAGGAGCTAATTCCATTAACTGATAAGGAGAAAAAAATGAACAAAAATAAATTAACTAAAATGATGAACCTCATAAGCTTTATCCAGTACACTGGGTAGTAATTCATCTTTATGAACTTTAAGTGTTGACCTTACTAATTTACCAGTAACAGGATGATTACAATATAAATCAATCTATAGAATAAAACTATAGATAGTACATACTTTGTATTAGCTTACTTCATATGGTTTTTCTTCAGTTTTTTGTTTCTTTTCTTTCTGTCTCTTCTCCTCAATCTCTTTCAAATGATCTATTCAAATATCAACAATCAAAATTAATAATGACACACATCATCAATAAAACCTTTAATATCTTTTATAATCTTCTCATTGTGTTCTCTTACAGTCATTAGTTCCATATTCATTAATGTTATTCTTTCTTGTAATTCCTCTATTATTCTTTTATTATCTACTAATGGCTGATAGTCTGATCTTGTCATTGCTTTAAGATGAAACTTGCAGTCATCAATTTCAAAAGTCATTCCTCTACTCACTCTGCAGGCAGCTTTATGATTAATTATATAATTATTATTATAATTAATAAAACTATACTCTAACCTGAATCAGTATTACTAGTAAGTGATCTTAAATACTCAATCTTCATTTTTGATATTTTGTCTGATAATTTTTTGTTTTCTTTTTGTATCTCATTAAACTGAGACCTCAATACAGTCAACTCTTCATAAAGTGGTTCTTCCTATTAATAATTATTATAAATGATATACATTAGTGAGATATACCTCAACTTCAATTTGAACAGGCAAAGATTTTGCCTAATTAAGATACAAATAAATTTTTAATTTCAAAAATCATTCTCTGAATGCTATATATAATATAAGCTAACCTCAAGTTCTGTCAATACTTTAATTTTTGATAGTTCTTGTTTCAATTCCATTGTTTCCTATTATAAGTACAACAATGCATTATTGCAGAGTTTAGCATAATGACATACATGTACAGTACCTTCTCTTTGATACTAATAGTATCTCTTAGTTTATATTCAGCTTCTTCAAGTATAATATAAGAAATGACCTGCAAAAAAACATTAATAAAATCTATACATTTTATTTCAATAAATTTAATCACTGACCTCAGTATGTTGCAGTAAGTCTTGATCCTTTTCTTTTAGTTCCTATACAATACAATATTCATAAAACAATATTCAATTATTCATATTATGTACCTTTTGTATATCATCTTGTCTCCTCCATAATGTTAAGTTACCAATAGTCAGTTTCTTTAATCCTTGTCCCATTAGTATATGAATATTCTCTATCATCCTCAATACAGTAAACCCAACATCAGAGAAAGGAAAGGAGCAAGTCACAGATATTGAAGTGGAGGTTGCTATAAACTTAATGATCAGCAATTTACCAGACACCTTAGACAAAACACCCTTGATATCCTGCAACAAATGTTCCTCAGGCTTCCAGTCAAAGATAAAGGTAACGGTTTCACACTTCAGATGAGGAAAAGAGCCAAATCTTTTTTC